GATTTCCCCAAAGTCGGTGGCTCATTTTCCCAAAGTCGGTGACAGATTTCCCCAAAGTCGGTAGCTGATTTTCCAAAAATCCGTGGCAGATTTTCTCAAAAACGGAACCGCTTTAATGCCCAAAGCCGGAGCCATTTTTTTTGCTCAAGCAGAGCCAGTCTTCTCCTAAAACGTATTTTCTGCTATTGCTTCAATTTAGGAAAAGCGCGCGCAGTCCAAAAGGATAAGAACACCAGAAAGAACTGCATTCCACAAATTTTCTCCAGATTTTCCTTCGATTTTCCATTTCCCATCTTGTCATTTCACACTAGCCAAAGTCAAAACGACAACGGCGCTTGCGTGCGCAAATCCATCCGTCAAACCAATCACCACTTCCACTAGCTTTTGCCACTCCGTTTTTGGCGTTGCTTCATTTGGGTGAAACTCTGTGCTGACCAGCTCTGTGGCTTCTGTACCAGCTGCTCACCGATCGTTTGTGGCAAGTTGCCTCTACAACTCGTTGTTTCCCAGTTTAATACGCCGCCTTTGTATCTTAGTATCATCATCCGTTAAAGGAATAGAAAGTAAAAATCGCACAATCACAAAACCAAAGTGCAAAGCTTGCCACAACAAAACATATTATATATACGCATCTTACAATGGAGAAGACGCACATGCGCGGAGCAAAAGAAAGTCACAATTTGATAGTGAAACTGTCTGCTCACAGTCAGGTCGCCAAGAGCCTCACAAAGCAAAACTGCTTCTCGATGCACCATTTCCCTACAAAAGCATTGCCACACTGCACACGTTGCTCGCAAGCCAGCCTCTACGGAATGAGGTATCCACAGCAGTCCGACCTGAATGATTGGTTGACCCGAGTTGACCCCCGCACTTCAACAAGGCGTTTGGAACTAGTGACAACAATAGTCACATGGCTGATTGCAGATCACCAATTGTCTCAGTAAGAAGCCAGCCTCTATGGCACAATGTAGCCATAAGGAGCGTCTTCATCATTATCACGAAGAGGTGCACTCATCTTCCCTTCCTTGCTCCATTTACCATCCTGCGGAGAAAGCATTCAAACTGGCAGGTCACCAACGCAACTGCAACTAGCAAAGAAGTTGCTGGCGCAGAAAATGGCAGTCCTCTTGGCTGTATATTTCTATCTTGGAAGGTGCGATGGATAGCTTTTCTGCGGTTTCAATCACCTCAGAGCAAACCGACAATACCACCCATGCTCTTTTTCATACTTTTACACGCTTTCAATCAAACATCCTCCGGTTTTAATCACTGTCTGCTTTGTCTACTCAACTAAGGCACAGCATTGCAGATGAATGCAAAACCATGAACTCACAGCAAATGTTGTAGATGCGGACGCTCTGCTTTACATTTGTCATTTCTCTTCTGAAAAATGTTCCACAAAAAAATGAAAGAAATTCTGTTTGAGGTCAGCACTTTTTTTGGATCGTCTATGTTCTGCACGTCCTGACGCAAATGTCATTCAGTACAGTTCGATATGCACGCTCTCCAAACTGTTGCGCTTTCAAGTCAGTTTTGTGGCGTCCTTATCCTTGACTTGAAATGCATTGCCGACGAACTCAAAGCCACCGCTGTCGTCCTGCAAGGTCAACAGCACATTCAAACTCAACCCTTTCCAACCGTGCGCTAATGGCATTTACTTTCCAAGGGCATAGCAAAGGAACAAGGGCATGACAAAACATCATACAAAGTCTTTAGTCAAAATCCTCTCTATCAAATTGAGGAAGATGTTGGGAAGATATCATTCAACAAATCCTGAGGAATAAATATGCTAGTGTTTATGCAAAAAAAACATTTACAGTACTTCCCTCAAAAGAACATGGCAAAGGAACAAGCAAAGAGCAAAGAAACAATATGTTGCGTCTAAGTCCTTTCGAAGTTGAATATTGGAAGGCATCCAAATAAACAACCATGCAATCGCCCAACCGTGCTGAAACAAAACGTGACAAGGTAAAGGATGCCAGAAAGAAGGCTGAAAAAAACACTTGTATTTTAACCTAACACTAGTCAGAGGAACTTCGTAAGGGAACAATGGCATCAACTGTTGCAGTGGCTCTTGCAAATAACAATGCTTTTGACGCTTGAGTGGGAGAAATGATGGAACACAACACAACCCTACTTTTTTCACACGACCAATCAACACCGGTTTTAGCGCACGAACCATGCAAAGCAATACATGAAAGGAACAAATATAGGGATGACAAGGCTGCTTGTTCAGCACTTGCTGCATCGCTCAAAAGGTGAGACGTTGAGGTGGGACAGGCAAAAGGGCATAGCAAAGGAACAAGGGCATGGCAGAAAATCATACAAAGTCTTTAGTCTAAATCCTCTCTATCAATTTAAGGAAAATGTTTGGAATACATTTCTGAACAAATCCTGAGGAACGAACAACCCTGCAATCCTTTCCCAAAAAGTCCGGAACCCTACCAAGTTCATAGCACGACAGTCTACTGTCTTGCACCGTGGACTTACCCTTAATCACTGTTTTAGTTTGGGGGAAAAGAGCATGAACCTGAACGAACGGCTATTATTATCTTCAACCGAACGGTCCGAAAGTCATCAGTGCACTGCTTTGGTCAGAGCAACGACTTTGCTAAAACAAAATGTTTTTACACAGTCATTGAATGCACTTCTCTGCAGTCCTTGCGGATTTGTCTCACCCAAACAGCTGGTGGTGCAGTCGCAGTGCCACCTTGCAGGGAGGAGGTATGGATGCTTGCATCGCTTTATCTATCAACCTCATGATTGTGCACCTATATAAACCTCAACAAGTTTATTCAACCTCTGTCAGCCTCCTTGTGGAACAGTGTAAGCAAACAGAACCAAAAAAACAGTTTCTGAAACACCGTCCTGATGTTGGCAAAGGAATTTGTTGGAGCTTACGGGCAATCAGCAGCTTCATATGATAAGACGAGGGGATGACAGCCCATTCCGTGTCTGCGCCAGTGAAGATGGTGGGTAAACCGAAGGTGATGGCATCCTTGTCGATGACCCCGCCCACGTTCTTCTCCGCAATCATTTTTGCACCTCCGTCTGTCTCCACATTCTTCACCAAAGAGAAGCCTTGCTTAGCGATGTTCTCAAGGTGAGCCCTCGCCGCTGCATCTTCCACACACGAAGGCAGCCCGGGACATCGCACAACTGCAAAGGGGTCGAAGTTATCCTTCTTCTCCATGAGGCTGTCCAAAGCCTTCTTGGTGGTGTAAATGTCGCCGCCAAAGTAGTTGTAGAACATCTCTGCCAAGTCTGTATCCATGCCCCAATCATCTTTCAGCATCTTTAGCATGGAAACCTCTGGTACTTCCCCAATGACAATGACTTTGCTGATGGTGCTCAAGTCCAAGCCACTTGCCAGCAAACGAAACGGGTAGCCAAAGTCTGAAGATATCAACATTACACTTGCTAGGTTTGTCTGCTTGGTCCATTTTGTGATGGCCGCTAGAGCTGACTTGGCCGCTGTATTCGGAACGTTATCTAGTCCAGGTAGCGCCACATTCGCCTCGTCCACAATGAGGCTGGGGATCCTACCACTCCTGATGGTCTTGTTGATGAAGTTATGAATGTAAAATTTGTTTTGCTTGGACAACGACATCCAACACACCCTTTGCTGCCTTTTCGGCTCCACTGTATTCCCTGCCCCAAGACAAGGGCCGGATCACTGCACCCAAAACTTCCATTGCCCGAGTTGACCACTTCAGAGATTTTTGACGTTGCAGGTCGAGTGCTGCCATTAAAGGTTTGCCACTCATATCACCATCCCGCATGTCCACCGAAACGATGTCGATGTTCCTTTCCGTTTCTTTGCATCTCTTGATTGCCTCACCTTTGAGAAATGTTTTCCCCAAATGCTTGCCCCCCAAAACCAAGAGCAACTCTGGCGTTTTCATTGACCGCACCAAAGCCTGTATCGCATCATCTCTGTCAACAACCTTGCTGGAATTCACGTGATTTTTTGCATGCGCAATGATCCTCTCCACATAGGTCTGGGCATCAGTCTTGTTCCTATTGGCGGCTTTTTGCAAGGCTACCCAAAAACTGTTTGTTTCGCCCGCGTCAGCACGAGGAGGTAGACCACGTAGTTTCAATGAACGCGGTGGATTTCTTGCTGTCTCTGTTGTCAAAAAACATGCAACCACACTTGCCCAAAGGACACATGCAAGTGCACCACGCCATTTACGTGAGCCGGACATTTCATGATGTGTAGTCATAAGAGTATTCAAATAACTTGTTCAAGTTCATCAAATTGCAACAAATCATGTGAAAGGTTGACCATGCAAAATCTCTGAGCGTCTTTACACATCTCTGTGCACATGTCGGGAACTAAGGTTGATATCACTCACTGCGTTGATACCGACTAGAATGAGGTTTAAGGAGAAACAAATTCCATCAATTCCTGTGCAAGTGTGCCCGAAAAACAGTGAGCATTGCAATGTCCAAAATTTGCAGTTGTCCGCAAAGAAATTCCTTCACTTGCAGTGGCTTGAGGAGAAAGGACGACACAGGTAGAAATACAAAGCACATATAAAAACAAATCCAACGTGTTTGGTTATAAAATCCAGGGTTTGGTTTGGAATGATATCATGAAATCCATGCAGTCTGGAAATAAAATACACCGGCTTAGGAGATTGCATCCAAAGGCTTGGAAACTAAATCCATTTGGAAATGAAATCCTTGGAAACAAAATAAGAAAGCAAATGTGTTCAAGCGTGTGAACATAATCTTAGTCCAGTTTTGCTGTTCTCTTTCAAATTATGTTGTTTCATTCGGATGTGGAGCGCGCCTGTGTGTGTGTGTGTGTCAACCCCTGGGCCAAGGGTTCACCACCACCACCACCTTTTCCACCTTCGCCACTTTCACCACCTTTTCCACCGAGACAGGGAGTTTCACAGGCAGGGGGCACCGGAGGGGCTGATGAGACCGGTGCTAACAAAGACACTCATCAGTCACCTGTGATACAGTTGGAGACGTCCAACTGCGTACCTGCAGAGTTTTTTCGCAAGCTGTCACCCCAATTTTCCGTGGTTTGCTTCCATGGTGGTTTCGCACGATACCTTCCCCACAAACAGGTCTTCCCCCCGCAGCTTTCAGCCGCTTGTGCATGCCGATTTGCGCCGCTTGCATCAGGCTGGCGACTGTCAAACCTCCGCAACCTTTGTCGTGGTTGGATCATGCGACGTTGAAAATGAAACTGCATGGGTCGGGCTTTGGTGACCTCGCCGACTTGGCCCACTTAACTCAGACTGGTTTTCCAACCCGACCATCGACACATGCTGCATGCACCATGCATCATGCAATCTTCAAAGTAAGGCTGGCCCACACTTGACTTGAGAAAAATCGATTCGCAGCTTAGTGTTAGTGAGAAGTTTGAAGGTTGTCATTTCGCACATGACACTATTGCAAAGAACAGCTACTGGATGTCGGGTGCAACGAATGACCAAACCCAGAAGGCTCTCATGGGCTCGAGTTGGGGGAATCCTCGACCAGTAACCATACCATTGATATACCCCTCATGACCAAAATTTAATCTTCCTGTTCAACTTCTTTTCCTCTCCATTCGCAGTGCCAGGCGTCCAGGTTCCTTTGACGTGAACACCTCACAGCCTCACATCGCCCCACATCGCCTCACACCTCATCGATGATTTGCCTTAGACACGGTTTCGAGTCTTGGGCATTTCTCAAAAAAATGTCACAATCAAGAAAGAAACGTTTTAGACCTGTGACCTGTGGCTCTTCATCTTTTGTCCATCTTTGGCTCTTTAGAGCTTTGGACAATTCTTTTCGGGTGCCCTTTCGTGTTCTATTTTTCCCGAAAGCATTGCGAAGGGTTCTTCCGGAAAATCTCTTGAACACTGACACTTCTACACTTACACTCACACACTGACACTTCCACACTTGCACTTGAACACTGACATTTCGACGCGTACACTTGAACACTTACGCTTCCACACTTAGACTTGAACATGAACATGAACACTTACACTTCTATACGTACCCCAGTGTAAGTGGAAGAGTGAAAGCATACAACGGCAAGTATCCAAGTGCAAAAGAATGCAAGTGTGAGTGTGGAAAACTTGCACGGGAGATGTCCTAATGAGTATGCAATGAGTATGCAAGTGTGAGTATGGAAAACTTGCACGGGAGATGTCCTAATGAAAAACATTTCCCCACTTTATAAATTCTCTCTTAAAGGCGGAGGGTGGGACGAACAGCGTCAACCGAAAATGCAACCCTCTGCGGAGATCGTGCGTGTCGTGTGCGCGAAATGCAGGCGAGAGTGCGATGTGTCCGGTGCCCGCGCAACCCTCTGCGGAGATCGTGCGTGTCGTGTGCGCGAAATGCAGGCGAGAGTGCGATTTGGCCCGTTCCCGCACAACCCTCTGCGGAGATCGTGCGTGTCGAGTGCTCGAAATGCAGGCGAGAGTGCAATTTGTCTGGTGTGCGTGCAACCCTCTGCGGAGATCGTGTCGAGTGCCCGAAACGCAAGCGAGAGTGCGATGTGTCCGGTGCCCGCGCAACCCTCTGCGGAGATCGTGCGTGTCGTGTGCGCGAAATGCAGGCGAGAGTGCGATTGGCGCGGTCCGTGTGCAACCCTCTGCGGAGATCGTGCGTGTCAAGTGCGTGAAATGCAGGCGAGAGTGCGATTTGTCCGGTGCCCGCGTAAGCCTCTGCGGAGATCGTGCGCGTCGAGCGCGCGAAATGCAGGCACTGGCGACTTTCTAGTACGACCTTAGTGCGCGGAGTATCTGGGGAGCTGGAAGATGAGAACTGGCGACTTGGTAGTACAACTTTAGTACGCGGAGCAATCTGTGGAGCTGGAAGCTGAGAACTGCCGACTTTAAGGTCCAACTTTAGTACGCGGAGTATCTGGGGAGCTGGAAGATGAGAACTGGCGACTTTGTAGTACAACTTTAGCGCGCGGAGTATCTGGGGAGCTGGAAGATGAGAACTGGCGACTTTGTAGTGCAACTTTAGTACGCGGAGCAATCTGTGGAGCTGGAAGCTGAGAACTGGCGACTTTGAGTACGCGGAGTCTCTGGGGAGCTGGAAGATGAGAACTGGCGACTTTGTAGTGCAACTTTAGTACGCGGAGCAATCTGTGGAGCTGGAAGATGAGAACTGGCGACTTTGTAGTACAACTGTAGTGCGCGGAGCAATCTGTGGAGCTGGAAGCTGAGAACTGGCGACTTTGTAGTGCAACTTTAGTACGCGGAGTATCTGGAGAGCTGGAAGATGAGAACTGGCGACTTTCTAGCGCAACTTTAGTACGCGGAGTATCCGGCGAGCTGGAAGATGAGAACTGGCGACTTTGTAGTACAACTGTAGTACGCGGAGCAATCTGTGGAGCTGGAAGCTGAGAACTGGCGACTTTGTAGTACAACTTTAGTACGCGGAGTATCTGGGGAGCTGGAAGATGAGAACTGGCGACGTTGTAGAACAACTTTAGTACGCGGAGCAATCTGTGGAGCTGGAAGCTGAGAACTGGCGACTTTGTAGTGCAACTTGAGTACGCGGAGTCTCTGGGGAGCTGGAAGATGAGAACTGGTGAGTTTCTAGCGCAACTTTAGTACGCGGAGCAATCTGTGGAGCTGGAAGCTGAGAACTGGCGACTTTGTAGTGCAACTTTAGTGCGCGGAGCATCTGGGGAGTTGGAAGATGAGAACTGGCGAAGTTGTAGTGCAACTTTAGTACGCGGAGTATCTGGGGAGCTGGAAGGTGAGAACTGGCGACTTTGTAGTGCAACTGTAGTGCGCGGAGCAACTTGGAATCTGCCATCCCTCTCATGGCTGCATGATTTGACTCAACTGTGGAAACACGCAGTGCAAAGCTCGATCACTCTTGATAATAAGGCCTTTCAAGAGAATTGAACTATAGATTACAGCTGGATAAGCGCCTAGGTCATAATAAACTCACTTTCGCTTCTGTCCGGGGCCCCACTCCCACGTCGGAGTCAGTGGAGTCTCAAGTATGCCAGACTGCAATTGTGGTTCCTTTGCCGAGAAGGATCCAGTCCAAGACGCCTGAGCAATTCGAAGCTTATGTTAAGAACCCATCAGAATTCCAAGTTGGCCAGGCCATTCAATTGGATCATCATAAGGGTTGGTTGCGTGACATTCGAGAGCATTCATTAATTGTCTCGTGCAAGGAACGCATTGCTGATCCTGAGAATGTTCGTGTGACACAACATGTTCTCTTTACCAATCCTAGACAGATTTGTGAACAACTCTCGCAATTTTGGCAACCAATCTGGCAACGAGATGATTCTCATTTGCTTGATCCTGCCTTGGATGCTGAATTCACACATTTCTTGAGTTTGCTCCCAAATCACCAGCTTCAGATTGACTCCACCAGTCTGGAGACATGGCAACAGGTCATTCGTAACTTGAAATGGAATGCGGCTGCAGGCCCTGACGGCATCACAGCTTTCGAGTTACAGTCCTTGCCATCCCAGTTGATTGAGGTGTTGATTGCTGTCATTCATAGCTATCCTGAGGGTTTCCCAGCCTGGTTTATGGCCTCGCGTGTCTTCGCGGCCTCCAAGGGTCTGGGCATCCCTGTTCCAAGCCGAGTCAGGCCGATCACAGTCTTGTCCCAGCTTTATCGGGTTTGGGCACAGGTTGTCTGCCGTCAAGCCTTGCGTGCTTTGGGCCACGCGATGACTAGTGACATCACGGGTTTACTCCCAGGACGTGGCGCTTTCGAGGCTGCATACGCCACCCAATGGTTTTTTGAAGGGGCTCACCATAATAATGAACAGTGCGCCGGCATTACTTTGGATCTTGTCAAATGCTTTAACGCTATAAATAGATCCAGAGGCATTAGCATTCTGTCATCCTTAGGTTTGCCACCTTCTGTTGTGCAAGTATGGTCCACGTCCCTCTCTCGACTCACTCGCAGGTGGGAGGTGTGTGGACAGTGTTCGGATCCCATCTCCAGCAGCTGTGGTTTCCCGGAAGGTGATGTCTTCTCTGTTCTGGTCATGCTTGGGGTGGCTCAGTGCTGGACCTTGGCGCGCCGTCAGGTCACTTCGGTTCATTCCACGCTGTCAGCGTACGCTGACAATTGGGCCTGGGCAGTCAAAGATGTCCTTGACCTCCAACCAATCTTGGAAGTCACTTTGCACTGGACACGTCTTGTCGGTCTACAGATTGATTGGACTAAGACTTGGTGGTGGGCTTCGCATAATCATTGGGC